GGGTTAACAAAAATTTTATTATATACTCTCTCTATTTCAGAATATAAGTTGTTTTGATAATCCTAAATATAAACCATAAAAGAAAATCCCTATTAAACTAACTTTATTGACTATTGGGTGACCAATAGTATTTTGCAGTCGCTTTTTTTATTGGTTAAATTATTTTTATTATACATATAAGATGATATTTTTTAGAAGAAAAGTAGTTTCTAAATATTTGCACTTTTAGTCAAAACAACTTATATTTTGAAACAGAGGAAGTAAAAAAAGATGAGAACGCGACAAATAAGCAAAATTATAATTAATTAGATCGTGACATATGTTTACTATTGATTAGATGATAACACGTGTCAATATATTTTAAAGAGGAAAATAAGTCTAACAAAAATTAACAGTAAAAAGAAAAATAATTCCCTAACAATTTAAAGAAAAAATTGGAAATATATATATTCTAAATATCTCTAAAAAAAAATAAGTCTCATAACAATTAACAAAAAAAAAAATCTATACTATATAAAAGTGTCTTGGTAAGAAGATTGAATCTCTATCAAATGAGATGTCTCACCATCATTACTATCAAATGGTCGGTTTTTGCCGTGAGCAGAGATGTTGATTTTCACAACATGGGAAGGAGAAACGTATCTCAACACGTCAACCAATAAATCATAGGCAACACCTAAAGATAGTAATCATAATAGTAGTGAAAGGGTAAAAAATTAAAAGAAGTTTCTTCTATTAAACACGCACGCAGAAAAACCCAATTTTGTTTGTTCTGAAAGGATAATAACAAGGGGTGGTTCAGTTTTGTTCTCGCTCGACTTGCAAAAGTATATAACTGGTAGTAATCGAATAAGGTAAAGCGGATTTTAAGTGTCCGAGTTGGTTTGCTCCTGACGCAAAGAGGCTCTTGTGTAAGATGTAGAATCACTATCTCAAGAATCAAGGAGAGTTCTTGGTTTAGAAAAGGATTACAGTTGAAGCAGAAAAAGATGGAGAAACAAGTCAGAGAGGCTAATTCGGTGGAAGCTGGAGGAGATTCAGGTCCAAGTAAAAACGGAGAAAACCACGAGCCGCCACAGCTTGCAAACTTAAACGCTTTCGATATCATCGGTTTGTCTGCGGGGTTTGATCTTGCAGGACTTTTTGGAGATGTCTATAGCAAGCAAGAAACTAGATTCGCTTCTAGGAAACCTGCTTCGGTGATCATATCAAAGCTAGAGGAGGTTTCCAAAAGCCTGAAGTTGAAGATAGGAAAGCAAGACGCGGGTTTGTTCAAACTCGAAGGATCAAACGAAGGAAGAAAAGGAGCTTTGTCGATAGATGCAGAAATATTCCAAGTGACGCAGACGTTTCACCTGGTTGAAGTAAAGAAATGTAATGGGGATACAATGGAGTATCAGAAGCTAGTGGAGGAAGATCTTAGGCCTGCTCTGGCTGATATTGTCTTGGTTTGGCAAGGCGAGAAGGAGAAACACGAGGAGTTACCGCGTGTTTTGCAAGATGAACAAGAAGAGCAAGAACCATCGAGTTCAAGTATTGAAACATCCACAAGTAACATGACACAATTTGCATAACTTGATTCTTTGCATAGCCTGACAAATATTGTAAAGAACTTGGAGCCTTTTTTTAACCAAGGGCCTAAACCAAAATTCTAATTTCTTGTTCAAAATAATATAGATCCATTTAGTGTACAAAAATGCACAAGGCTTGGAACAAAGGCAGGTTATATATATAATCAAGGTTTGTTAGGATTTATCACAATCCAAAGTTCCAAACTCTCGTTAGTTAATTTGGATAAATCTCAACTACGGAATGGATATTTTTAATAACAGAAGAATATAAAAATTTGAAACTTTTAGATAATTTCAAAATTTTATTTATCCAAACGAACATTTCATAATCCTTTTTTTTTTTTTGAAAATTATCATAATTCATATTTATTCCATACTTTTCTAAAGAGTCATTTTCATGCATTTCACACGAATTATGTAAATTTTAGAACATACGAACATGTCCATGGTTAATATATATGATACTGAATTAAATTCACAAGACCAACTTTTGCGCTGGTTCGGGTCTTAGGAACATGAGTTGTTGCTAAGGTGGTGTTAAATCATGAATTTAATTGTATTTTCTTGACAAGCACTAACCAAGAGAATGATTACACAAAGCATGAGGTCCTTTTTCCATATATTTAGATAAACATTGTGAAATGTTACACTCACACAGTTATATATCATTTTATAATATTAAAAGCTTAGGGGATTCATGTGTTCCTTGAAGTTATCCATTGCAGCTCTAGGCAGCGTTACGAGCACTCTAACCCCACCGTGCTTCCTCGGCAAGAAAATACAAATATCAGGCAGATACTTGGGCACCAATGGTACTATATTCACCGATCCTCCATATCCAAAATCAACTTCGTCTAACAATCCCATTTGTCTCCAATCAGTGAGAAGCATGAACGCTCCGTTACCTCCTCCACACATTGTCTTAACCTTCAAGCTTCTCTCTATCTCTCTTAGCTGCTCACGCACGTACTTTTTATCCATCGCGGCTCTCTTGGCCTCTTTGATGAGTTTAACCACACAAGACAACGGTGAGTTGCTTAGCTCTCCGGCCTTCGTAGCAACGTTGGCTTTGACAAATGCGTTTCCATAGTAGCCTTCTTTTAACGGTGGCTCTACAATTCTGCGTATACCTACGGCCATTCCGAAAAGCGTAGTCCCGTCTGGACTCAGCTTTAAGGCTAGGCACCTTGCTTTCCATACGTGGGCCGCAAGAATCTCTAGAGTCGTCACCTCCTCAGAAATGTTCTTCTTGAGTTGAGTGATGTCTTGGGATGTGACGTTAAAGATCTCACAGACCATGTCTTGTGTTGGTGTGTAAGGGGAAGTTGCCACAGTAGAGCAAGCTTCCACGAAATCAACCAGCTTGGGAGCTTGTTCCTCCTCCACTTGCCCTAATTACACAAATGTTAGTTAATAGTTGTCTCACATATGAAAATAAAATTAGTTGAAAGCAATATATAAGGGACATGAATCAGTTTATTTATTGTCAACTAGTTTTTAAGTAGAAACTCCGAGATGATTTTTTTAGCA